CCATGAGCTTTCAGGAGATCCCTCATATTTTGAAATGCCGTCTGTGTTATCTAAGGGATTCCTGAGAGGAGTACCGCCTTCACTAAAAGATACAGATTGTACGAGCCGGCAGGTGGCTTGGTGATGGAGGCACAGGACTCCCACGTGGCCGGCCGCAGTTCGAGTCCCAGACCTGGTGGCTTGCTTTCTCACTTTCTCTCTCTCTCTCATTGTGGGCGCACATACTCTGTAGCAAATTTAAAAATAATGATGATAAATCTTAAAAATTATAAAAAAGATACAGATTTTGAAGGTACAGATTTAGAAACTCTTAACTCTCTACATCTGCGAAAGTGTAACGACGTGATCCCAGCCCGTGTTCTCTTGAGCGTAAACAAGACTTGGCGCCGATTCCGATTTCCCCACAGCGCAGTGCGGGTTTTTGATCAGGATAGACTGATCCGGCTGCTCTCGCTGTTAGCGCCTCTCCTCACTCTGCCTGGACCCTCTTTCCCGTCTCTGCATGCTTCCCCTAATGCTTTGAAATTTCATTATTTCTAAAAAAAAGATCAGAATTCCGTGCAGCCCTCTTGAGTCGGTCTTGCAGTTTCTCTCGTGAATAGGCAGTTCTTCGCCCCGAGGAGCCCTTTAGAAAGCCGGCCTTTGTGTTTCTCAGCCCCGGGGCTGTAGGTGGCCCCTTGCTTTCGAGGAGCAGCACTGTGGGTCCTGGATCTGAAACCCCATGTGTGCAGATGGTGAGTCGCTGTTGCCGTTGCCCCTGTCCTTCCGCGGTCCTGGGCTCTTAACATCGCCGTTTGCTCTCTGCAGTTTGGAGCTGGGTCTGCCCTTCCCAGCGTGGAAACAGGCTAGACGGCTTGTTCTTTAAGGAGTCCTCTGGTGAACACGGGTTGAGAATACAGAGTATGGGGACCAGCGGATGGCGTAGTGGTTTTGTCGCTGGACTCCCACATGGCCGACCACGGTTTGAGTCTCAGACCCAGTGACTTCAAATCACATGAGCACATGTGTGTACGTGCCCAAGATCCTGAGAGGAGACTGGAGAAGGAATTCCTTCATGGCCATCCCCGCTGGGGGGGGGGGGGCTTTCTCACTTCCCCTCTCACTGTGTCTCTCTCTCTCCCTGGCAAAAGACAAAAAAAAGCCTCCAAGAAAAAGAATTAGTATCACCTGTCTGCTTTTGTAAACGTGGAACATCTATATTTCTTTTATCAGAGAATAGTAAGGTGTTTTGTTTCTAGTTCAGGGTATAAGATTTACCAGCAACCATTTTTAATTATGAACCTGATCATATTTTCCCATATATTAATAGCCCGTGGATTTTAGTTGGGTTTGGTACTGAGAGAAAATGGCTTGGTCTAGATCAGCAGTTGGAGCCCTACCAGGAGCACCAGGGGCCATCTTAGAAATGTGCTCCTGGGGACCACAGATGGCAAAATGGTTATGTTGCTGGACATCCACATAGTTGACCGCGGTTCGAGTCCCAGACCCGATAACTTAACTCACGTCAGGCACGTGTGCGTGCGTGCCCAAGGTCCTGAGAGGAGAATGGAGGAGAAGGGACTGTGGAGTGGCCATCCCCCGGGGGAATGATTGCTTGCATTCTGTCTCCCTATCTCTCTGGCTAGTGCTCGCGCCCTGTAACAAAAAATCTCTTAAAAGAAAAATAAAATTGCTGTGCTCCCCAGAACCTGTGCTTCAGCAGGCCCCTGGCTGTTCATGAATGCGGCCGCAAAGCTCACTCTTGGTACTCAGGGCCTGGGGTGTGCTGAGCTCCGGAATGTGTCAGGCGCAGTGGACGGCAGCTGTCCTCCGAGGGCCTTGCTCCAGGCCTCACAGGTCCCTCAGGCGCAGTGGACGGCAACTGTCCTCCGAGGGCCTTGCTCCAGGGCTCACAGGTCCCTCGGGCGCAGTGGACGGCAGCTGTCCTCCGAGGTCTTCGCTCCAGGCCTCACAGGTCCCTCGGGCGCAGTGGACGGCAGCTGTCCTCCGGGGACCTCGCTCCAGGCCTCACAGGTCCCTCGGGCACAGTGGACGGCAGCTGTCCTCCGAAGGCCTCTCTCCAGGCCTCACAGGTCCCTCGGGAGCAGTGGACAGCAGCTGTCCTCCGAGGTCTTCGCTCCAGGCCTCACAGGTCCCTCGGGCGCAGTGGACGGCAGCTGTCCTCCGAGGGCCTTGCTCCAGGCCTCACAGGTCCCTCGGGCGCAGTGGACGGCAGCTGTCCTCTGGGGGCCTCGCTCACAGGTCCCTCTCCTTGTTGCAGTGCTTGAGATTCACCTGGAGAACTGCGTGGTGAGCCCAGGGTTTTCACCGTTGAGCTGATGGTGCCCGTCAGGATTACGCACTGCAGCCTCAGCTCTGATGGCGTTTGGACTGGGCCCGCCCCCTACCAAGACACTTAGGGTACATAAGATAATTTTCAGGATTTAGGCGCTCCTAATGCCTCGTGTTGTAACTAAAAGCAGGCATATAACACCTGAGAGACACTTGGTCTTTTTTGCTATACGGCACATGTACTCAGTGGACAAAGGAGGGAGGGAAGGAAGGTGAGAAACTGCCCCCCAGTGGGTGATGACCCTGCCACGGTCCCTTCTCCATTCTCCTTTCAGGATTTTGGGGCACATACACACATGTACTTGGTGTGTTTGTCAAGCCACCAGGTCTGGGTCTCAAACCATGCCGTCAACCGTATGGGATCCACCACCTTAATCACAGTGCCACCTGTTGACCCCATAATATTTACTCTTAATTATTACCATCTTCCATAAATTTACTAACTTTCTGGCTAACATCAACTTGTCTACTTTTTTCTTTTTTTAAAAGAGACTTTTACAATAGGGCACGTTTGCTCTCCAGAGAGACAGAAAGTGAGAAATCACCCCTAGGGGTTATGGCCACACTGCAGTCCCTTCTCCTCCATTCTCCTCTTGGGATCTTGGGCATGCACGCACACGCGCCCGGTTTGAATTTATATCTCTGGATCCAGGACTTGAACCATGATCGACTCCATAGGAGTCCAGCGACATAGCCATTATGCCATCTGCTGGTCCCTGTCTACTTATTATTAAAACCTTTTTTTTTTTTTAAATGAAAAGCCATTATGCTAATGTGTGGTTTTTTGTTTTTAGTTTTGCTCTAGTGCATGTGCACTCACTGGAGAGAGAGAGAGAGAGATCACCTCCAGAGGGATGGCCACGCCACCGTCTCTCCTCCGTTCTCTTCTCAGGACTTGGGGCGTGCGAACCCAGCGTGTCTCTCAGGACGCAGACCACACTGTGGGCCCTGTGGGGTCCAGCCTCCTTACCCACCATGCCTCCTCCCTGGCCCTGTGTGCGTGTGATAATTGGACAGATCCTCCACTCTTGAATTAAACACTGTATACCTTTTAAAAACCATTTCCCATGGGTCCTTCAGGGTGGAATATTAACTTCTTAAACATGGCTTTATTTTATAAATGGGACATCAGAGCCTTAACACTTATGTTGGCTCTGAAACCTTTGGCAGGTTTTGTTCTGTTTCTCTAACTTGGGGAATGGTTATTGTCAGGAGAGGTGACGGTGGCGGTGGCATCCGCTCGGCATTACTGATAGGCTGTGTTGGTGTCGCAGAGTGAACGGGGGGTGGGCAGTGTTCTCTTCGCACGTGTCGAGAAGGGAAGCTTCCCAAAGCCAGGGTGTAGCTACCGACTTCTTGAAGATAACATTCTGAATTTTAAGCAGAAACAGGTATCCACATTTTCACCCTTTACATATAACTAGGTCATACTGCGAATGGTCAGTTTCTTACTGTCAGCCAAAATACATGAAACTACTCATTATTCTCTAAGTGTTTCTAACTCAAGAGTGAGGGCACAGTGGGATATATGTTAAGCCCTGAGCCCGTCAGAGGAGTCCGAAACTTCTGAATAGTTTATAGCAGAAGATGTGGAGAATTGAGAACTGGGGTTCCTGAGGCTGTGGATGTAGTCGCGGACCCAGGTGAGACGGCTGGGTCGGGACGGGCAGCCGTGTTGGGAGATTAACCATCCTCTCGGCGCTCGCCCGCGCCCGCTCAGGGTGCTTCGCAGCCATTCGTGCTGCCGTTCTTGAGGCCGTTCCCTCGTGTGACCGACCTACCTCTTAAGCTGAATAAAACACTTAACCTGATCACTTTTACCATGCATAAAGCATGCCTAAACCCAGCAGCAAGCTAGCAGGTTTCCCCTGAGAATTTAGGGTGTGGAGTGTGCAGCCCCTCGTGAAGTACCTCACTGAGGGGATAATAGTGCTACAGTCCTTATCGACCGTTAGTGAGACAGACCACAGGGCGCGGGGACCACAGGGTGCAGGGACCACAGGGCGCAGGGACCACAGGGCGCAGGGCTACGAGAAAGCCCAGGTTCTTCTGAAAAGACTTCAGTCAGAGCGAATGAAATTAGAAGAGAATTTTTATAAAACAGTTGTTCTTTTTGCATTTTCTAAATGAATGTCTAACTGAGTAACAGACCTCAGGTTATTTGGGGCAAGGGTGGGGAATCTGGTAAATGAAGATTGTGTGAAAAACGTTGAAGGCAAGCTACTTGTTTCCTGTATGGGATAAGAAAATATTTCTTCAACTTTATTATTTTTTTCTAGAGGTTTTTGCTATAGGGCGCATGCAGAAAGACAGAGAGAGATAGAGGGACAGAAAGCGAGAAATCACCCCCCGGGGGGATGGCCACGCCGCAATCCCTTCTCCTCCATTCTCCTCTCGGGATCTTGGGCACGCACACACACGTTCCCAGCGTGAGTTTAAGTCACCAGGTCCGGGACTCAAACTGCAGTCGACTACATCGGAGTCCAGCGACATAGCCATTACGCCAACTGCTGGTCCCAGTTTTCTTCAACTAGGGAAGTTAGCTCCCAGTGCAGTCTTGGACTTGTTCAACTGACCTAGGCCAAAGACAGATTTTATTTTGTTTTCATAGACAACATGTCAAAGAAGTTTACCCTAACACGCTGTTTTATTTGTTTCTGATTCTCTAGTTTTCTGAAGGAAGCCAAAAACACGAACACCTACAGAAGAGCATTGATAAAGCTAAAATCGGCCGCCATGAGACGGTAAGTTCTTGTCTGTAGGTCCCTTACAATGACAGTTCTCAGTGGAAGCGTCAGGATGTGGAGCTAGCCCTGTGAGGACAAAGCTCTTCCTGCCAGTAGGGGAGTGGGTCATATCCACTAACAGTAGAACGAGGGCCAGCGGGCGGCATGGTGGTCAAGACGGCTGGATCCTCCATTGCCAATCACGCGTTCAAGTCCTGGACCCTGCAGCTTGAGAACTCACACTGGGTATGTGTGCGTGTGTGCCCAGAATCCCAGAGAGGGCGAAATGGAGAAGGGATACAGCATGACCACCCCTGGGGCTGGGGGAGCTCTCTCACTCCCTGCAACTTCATCTCTGGTGAGCACGTAACCCTTCCGGCAAAATTTTTTTTAATAACTGGGGCCAGCAGATGATGTAGTGGTTACATCCCTAGACTCCCACAGGGCCGATTGCAGTTCGAGTCCCAGACCTGGTGGTTTGAAGCTCACACCAGGTGTGTGTGCGTGCGTGCCCAAGATCCTGGGAGGAGAATGAGGGAGAAGGGATTGCGGCGTGGTCATCCCCCCTGGGGGGTGATTTCTCACTTTCCTTCTTTACTGTCTCTGTCTCCCACTCTTCATGGTGAGTATACATACCCTAAGGCAAAAACTCTTTAAAAAAAATTTATAAAGACTAATCACCCTTGGGAACCAACAGTTAGCATAATGGCTATGTTGCTGGACTCCCATGTAGTCGACTGCGGTTCGTGTCCCGGACCCGGTGGCTTAAAACTCACGCCGGGCATGTGTACGTGCGTGCCCAAGATCTCGAGAAGAGAATGGAGGAGAAGGGACTGCGGAGTGACCATCCCCCCAGGGGCGATTTCTCGCTTTCTGTCTCTCTGTCTCTCTCTGTCTGTCTGGCAAGCGTACACGCCCTATAGCGAAAACCTCTCCAAAAAAAAAAAAAAAGACTACTCACCCTTCATGGCTGAAAATGGTCTAGAACTCTAATAACTATATTATTGATGTTTCCATGATAGCTTTATACATAAATTTCGTGGAACTAAAAAGCAGTATAGGGAACCAGCAGTTAGCGTAATGGCTATGTCACTGGACTCCCACGTAGTCGACCGTGGTTCGTGTCCTGGACCTGGTGGCTTAAAACTCACGCCGGGCGTGTGTGCGTGTGTGCCCAAGATCCCGAGAGGAGAATGGAGGAGAAGGGATTGCGGCGTGGCCATCCCCCCTGGGGCATGACTTCTCGCCTTCTGTCTCTAATGTCTCTCTGTCTGTCTGGCGAGCATGTGCCCTATAGTGAAAATCTCTCCAAAAAAAAAAAAAAGCAGTATAATTTCTCAGTCTATGACATATGATTGTCTTTGAGATCATCTATACATTATTGGTAATCTCTTACCTATTTTTCAACATTTCATTCTACATATTAATTTCTCCCTCTTTTTTTTTTTTTAGTTTTGCTATAAGGCACATGCACTTGCCGCAGGGAGACAAAGATAGGGACGAATGAAAGTGAGAACTGTCTGTGCCATGCCAGTATGAAAGCCTAGTGCACACCATTTGTGACGAAGAAATTGAAAGTGTTATAAACGCACCACCCAGGACATTCGGGTGCCGTTCGTCTTAATTGTACATGTAACTGTTTAAATGCAGGAA